TGTATCTGAGACACAAGAGAGATCACATACTTTTATTGACTTTAAAGAATATAGTGATCTAAAAAAGTCCCTTAAATACGCCTCTAAAAACCTCATTAACTGTATTGAAAGTAGTGCTACGATGATTTATGATTTTTTAGAGGCAGAAGCATATAAAAAAAAATTAAAAGGGACAATTAAAGTTTTGTTCAAAAACTCAATAAATTGGGCGTTTCTCGATAAATGTCCAGAACATAAAGATATGAATATAGATTACTTATTTAATAGCGTATTTCACATTTGTATGAAGAGATTTTGTATTTTGAAAAATCGGCAATTTGCAGAAGAGTACTCTGCATCTGCTCTTAAAAGAAAAATTGATATCCTGCAGAATAAATAAGATATTACATGGAACTACTTTTTCTGTATGTACAGTCATAATCACTTCAGTGGTGACATTATATAAGGAGATAAAAGGAGAGGGAGAATTTGTCCTCTCTCGAGAGAGGCTGCCAAGGAGTGACTAGCGCTGATGAGGCTACGGATGTGTGTAAAAGTGTACCCGTAGTCCTGCCGATAAGTGGTGAAGATGAAACATCTGAGAGTTTTAGTCGGAGTGGGTCAGATATTCCTTGCTTCCGCGAGGCAGGTAGGATTTAAATTTAAGTTATTTTTTTAAATATTTGCCATATAGAGCCACTTTTGGATTTCGAATATAGTATTTTCGAAACTATCACTTTACTGGTGCGAATCATACCTTACAGTCTTTTTATCGTTTAATGTCGGATAGTTTATTAGTCACTCTACAAACAATCGTATTGCTATGCAACTAACTTTTAAGTTTACTGTGGGATATGGATAACACATACATTTGTATTTTTTATAGAATTTAGCAAGTAAATGCTGTGACACTTAGACATCTACCTGTATTATCGAAAAATAATAATAACTACTTAACTATTAAATCGATATTTAGTTAAGAGCTGTTCAGAACTGTTTACATGCATAAAGTTAAAAATTAGTTAATTACGTATATATCCATGTAACATCTTATTTATTCTGCAGGATATCAGTTTTTCTTTGAAGAGCAGTTTGAAAAAGAGGGGGATATTTTACATTTTAATATTTCATTTACGGAATCATTTTTGCTCAATACTTTGAGAAATGCTTCATTCTTTAGATGCTTTACAGTTTTTTGAAGCTTGTTAATTTTTCTCAGATGATATTTCATTTTTATCAACATATCTTTATCCTTTTTGTTTTTCGTGGATGGATTTGCAGCAGGTAGTGCTACTTAATGACATGAAAATGTTGACTTATTAGTTTTTAATGCAGTCAATAACAATAACATAACGAAAATAATTTCTACAAATGTAATATTATTGGTGGCATCTATAATATAATCAGGTTATTGGAGTTTAGACATAATATTGCAAAGCTATTGCCTTGTTTGTAGAATGTGAATGTAAATAATGTTTTCTTGTTAGAAAAAAGTGTTTATATTAGATTGTCTAATCTTTTTTATATAAAACCAATGTACTTTTACTTTCCATTTTGCTTAAATGTCATGTTACATATGCCATGTTAAAAATTAGTTAATTACTCCGTCACTTACGTCCATCAATGTACCAACGGTTTTTCTATGTACCAATGTATGTAATGTAAATAAAAAATATGTATTTCAAAAACCACTTTTATTTGAAAAATAGTTCCTTTTTTATATTAAAATGATTGCTAATCGTTTCAAAAGTGGTTTATGAATGTAAAGTACCATAATTTACAAATAACTTTGTGCTTTTGTTTTCGTTTTAATTTAGCAATATATATCATTGAAACGAAAAACTACAAGCTATATCTATCTATATGGTATTTTACATTCTTAAGCCATTTTTGAAACGAAACAACCAAGACGACAACTAAAAAAAAATCACGTGTCAAAATTCCCGCGCAAAAAGTTTTAGGGGGCACGACAGAGATGGCGTGCATTATTGGTGCCATTTTCTTTGTTTGAAGTTGACATTCTTCCCGCCTAAGGGTATTAGTGTTCTGTGATCACTTTAGAATAGATAAAATATCCTGACGTTTGATGAATGAAATTTAAATTTTTTACGTCGAAAAAAGGAATGTGATTGATATATATTTTTTTCACGATTCACGTTTTTGTCTCACCATTAATGTGACTTTATAAAAAGAAATAGGCTCGTTTCAAAACGCTCAATGCCTGCGTAATTTAAATAGTTAAAAATTAAGAATGGTAATTAGGTATAAAAATGTAATTGAAAAAAATGAGAATGTAATAATCAGTTTTTATTTTACTACCCGTCCCGAACATCATTTTCATTTTCACCACCAATTATAACAATAATAATAACAATAACAACAATGCCATTTTGTTGCCAGATGTAGTACAGTTATCGTAATTGCTTACTGTTTCGGTAATTTAATGATATCGAAATAGAATGTAAATAGAAAAGAATATAATGGAAAACTACCAATGAGGTTAATTTTCTGATGAAAGAAAGCTAGTAATCTGGGCATAATAAATGTTTTCTTGCTCTCCTGTAAGTTTTTAAAAATTAAGGTTCATCCCTTTGCGGCGTCAACGACGAATTGAGTGATTCCTTAATCTAGTGGTCGTAACCGCGCTGTTAAACATGTGGTACAAATCCTGGAGCATTCCGAAGTCAGGAAGATTCCTGAATCCGGACGTTTGGAGTGTGGCTTGGAGTTTGAAGAGTGGCGGAGCTTTCTGGCGGGTAGACGCGGATCGGCGGTAGCCTTTTAGTATGTGTATAGGGTTAAGGTCACACAATATTTTTGTTACTAGTCCGCAATGAAATACGATTTTTAACCTTCTTCAAAAAATAAGAAGGTATACTTTTTTATGTATGTTACGATATCTTCGTCAATTACAAACCGATCATGCTGCTTATTTTTTTACGGTGTTTTACGCCTAAGTGATTGGTCCTGCGCCTGATCTCTTCGGTGGCGTCAAATTGCCATCCCATCGGAATGAAAGTAAGGGAATAGAGAGTTGGCCTGTGCTTGCACATATACGAGTACCATACTCCTGTCTTGTCCTGTCCAAAAGCTGAGTTAGTAATTGGACTGAACTTACTTCAAGTAATTTTTTTGAATTTTAAATCGATTCTGAATACTACTAAAGGATCCAAATTGGTGGACTCAGTAAAGTCCAATGCCAAATACATGTGGCAACCTAAAAATTAAGTGTTCTTAATGTTTGTAACCAAACATGTCAACAATGTTAAGTCTTTTTGTAGTCCATTAATTTGAAAAAAAAAAATTTATTTTTCATATTTAATTTTCATATTTATTTCACCTGGCCACAACCACAAAATCCCATTTTGGTTTTACGATCTGGCAACCCTAGCTGTGTCGGAAGCAGAGGTGATAACGTATCTTTTAGCTTAACTTTTTTGACGCCCGTTGCAAGTGTCCACTGTCCATAGAATGCTAAAGAGCTTTCCATCTGCTGGGGCCCGCTACACTGCACTGTGCACAAATCCTAATCTGTTTCATTTATTTGTTTATATCGTTTCTTCATCAGCCTCTTTTGATCCATCGCTTGATATTGGACGTTTTAATATTCACGCTCATCAATCTCGTTTCCTCTGTTAATATTATAGCCGAACAGGAGGAATTGGGTAAAGGTTATTATAATATCAAGGAATAGAAGAATGAAAATAACCCCTGAGAGTAAGATGATCGCCACCATGCCGGTTCTATTAAAATCAATTTAAAAAGTTAGATACTCTAAGTTAGCGACGTTAGCGACAGTTCTATGGCGCAGTGACTTAGCAATGAGTTGTTGCGCTGGGGGCCGCGGGTTCGAATCCCGCACGGAACAAGTATTTGTATGGCCTACAAATAATTGTTCCGGGTCTGGATGTTTGTCCTCGTGCAATCTATGTTTGTAAACTGCCTCCACAATACAGGAGAAAATACTAATGTGGAGGTAACGTTTAAAAAAAAAGAACTTAACGAAGGCTTGACGTGCTTTCTGAGGTACGGGAGTCAAACACCGCCAACTTCCTGACTCCTGCTACTGAGAAATTTTTGACAAAAAACCTAATAGCCGATTTTTTAGCGCGATCCAGAATTCGAACCTGGAATTTATGATCACTAGACCAAGGAAGTATAAAATATTATAATACTTTGCTCACGCCGTTAACGAGGTGAACGTGAGCAAAAGTGATTTTTTATTTAATAGCAATGACAGGAATACGGCAAAATCACACATATTTTTATCTATTACAAGTATAAAATATGTATTAAAATACATAGTGTTATCTCTATCCAATGAATTACTCTTTGTTCAATGAACCACTTTATTTGACCCATTACGAATAAATTTAATCGCTGTTATCTTGCAATTGAGGCGGTTCTTATTGTATTGGTCATCGAAGACTACAAAATACAAAACAATTATTCACTTACGCTCAAGGCCAAGCAATTAAATACAATCTATACTTTATTACTTGGTGTTAAGGTTATAGTTTCAGTTAATAAATTGAAGGAATGAATCAGGGCACACGGACACGAACGAGGATAAATTCCTGTATATCGTTCACTTCACTCACACTCATTCATAATTTAAAGAGTACCTACTTGAATCGCTCGCGAGTTTCGACGTTGAAGTTGTGTGGGAACATATTTTAAAATTATTGATAAATGTAACGTGTTTATGTGCGTTGAGTGTGTCTGTGAGTTTATAAGAACTAATATAATTGATAAAGTGCGTACAAAATAATAGAAACTGTTTCCTAATAATGAAAACGATAATATTTTAATACGTGCTATGAATATACGTTCAGTATTCTTTTGTGTTTGGACTCCAAACTTTGGCGCGAAAAAATTAAACGTATAAGTGTAACGATGAACATTTTGTTTGTGAAAAATAAAGAAACATATACATAATTAATTTTTACACGAAGCACACAACACGTTCACAACAAAAATTTACCAGAAAGTTGTAATTGACAAAAATAAATTGATTAAAAATGGAGGTAACCACAGCGAAAGCCCTATCAATGCTGGCTTTAGGAGTAGGTAGCTTTATAACGGGAATGCTACCAGCTTCGTTCACTGAAGGAGCGAGACGAAAGCATCCTCTATTAATTTCTACTCTTCTGTGCTTCGGTGCGGGTGTTCTTCTTTCAACATCTTTGCTCCACATGCTCCCCGAAGCGAGAGAGAAGCTACCTTTGCATTCCGAACTGATGTTATGTGTAGGTTTCTTTCTTGTTTATTTGGTTGACGAGATCGTCCACTTGTTTTACGGTGGCATGGGCCACGGTCCTCATCCTAACCCGGGATATGGGAGCGGTGAGCAGACAACCCTTCTAACGAGAGGTTTGAGAGGCAACGATGGGGAGATGGATAGATGCTGTGGGGATACAGGGACCCAAAGAATGTGCCATGTGAGCCACACACCACCGTGCAATAGAAGCTCGTCCGGCGTCATTGGACTGCTGTGTGCATTATTCGTGCACAGCCTTTTAGAAGGTTTGGCTATCGGTTTGCAAGAGACAACAGCTCAGGTTAGTTTATTAAAAAAAATATATATTTTAATAGTCCTTTATTGACAGTCACGATCACTGAAGTACTTTTTGGAACAAAGTTCCTTATCGGACGGTACGAATATGATGGATGGGGGCTAGGCGAGAAAATGTGTAACATTTTTCCGTCACGACTCCTTCTGACGTAGGTGTAGACAGCCTTGACGGCTATAAGGAAGCGAGATGGAATAATATGCATCTCCCTCGCACTTTTTCTTACCTTGCTATGAAAAAAAAATTATTTTAAATAACGCCTCATTTTAATAGACGTTAGAAAATCATTTATTTTTATTTGTTAATCAATAATATAATACGTTTATAAATAACAATATATTACGTAAGGAACTTCGTTGCAACCGAGTGTTCCACGACACTAACGCATGTATTTTTTGTATTAATCGGTACGTTCTACAATAGGCATGACAAACGAACACACAGTACACCTGATGGTAAGTGGTTGCTGTGACCCATAGACATATACATCTACTCTTAATAAAGAATCAAAATGCAGATGCGTTGTCACCCGCGAGGATTAAGATGGAATGCCTCTTTTCCAGTAAAAAGGGTCTCCGGTTCTTTACACTTACCATACGAAATACAGCAGTGTTAAGCTGCTATTTTAGGCTGGTATTCTGTGAGAGCGTGGTCCTTCCCCTGTCCAGCCGACCCATTCGTGCTACAACTACTAACATAGCTGCAGCATGGCTCGAAACTAAAATACTATGTATAAAACCTGTACCTTGTATCGATGCTTTTTATACACCTATATAAATTGAAAACAGACAAACATTCAGACTCTGAACACCGTTCGCAACACCTTTTGTTACTTGCCGGATTCGAACCCGCGGCTATCGCACCGTAGCCAAACACCTCTGGGTTATTAAGCTTCCGAATCGTATAGTGCTCTTGAGTCTTAAGACATTCGACCACGGTCCGAGGTGGTCCGAGGCCAATATTTCTGATGGTAGGTATCTGTTACCAGGACAACATAAACGTGCATAAATGTAACACGCAATAAAAATTGAATTATTAATGACCTGATTATCGATGCGTAGACGGCCATCTGACCGCACAGTACCTTGATTGCGAGGCTACAGTTGAGGATTAGACATAGACATAAAGACATTTATTCCGACACTTCAGGTTACAATCACAAATTAATAAGAATTAAAAAAAAACACAAGAAAATGAATAAAATAAAAATAGAGGATATAACAACAATTCATGACTTAATAATCGAATTCATTCACAATTCATTTGAATCGATTCAAGTCCTTCTGCTGGTAAATTGTTTAATTAACTAACGTTAATATTTTATAACCTGCATCCTATCCACGCATACTAAGGTGTGTTTTTATTTATCTACAAACAGCTTTTAATAAAAAGCATAAACCGATTTCTTCTTCTTCAAATTGCTGAAAAAGAAATTTATTTACTGGGTGGAATTTTTTCTCCAAATTTATATGAGACCACCCTTGAAGTATAGCCTATTAAATAAAAAGAGAATCACTAAAATCGGTTCTCAATCTGCGAAGATATCATTTGAAATTTTAAACAATTGTCCAATATGAAACTTTCCCCCCCTATTTTCCACCCCTAGGGGCGGAATTTTTTGTTCAAAATTTAATGGGATCACCTTTGAGGTAAAAAAGAATTATTAAAATCGGTTCACAATCTGCGACGATGTCGCGTAACATACATATAAAACAAAACATACACTCGAATTGAGAACCTCTTCCTTTTTGAAGTTGGTAAATAAATGGTACTCATAATATTAACTCGTAGTAGCCATCGTATCGAAGACACATATTTTGAAAGGGTAACCCTGATACTAGAATTTTCACTTGAAAACACTTCTCTTTAAATTGCACATGGATCCGACCGGGAAAAATTGTTTGTAGGTCATTTAAAACTTGTTTCGTTCGGATTCGAATAGTTTATGACCATAAATTTCACAGTAAACGAACAATCCGGGTTCTTATCCGTGAGCACCATTAAAATTGTTGATCGTAATTTTAATTGCTGATTTACTCACCACGGACTTAGTGGTGTAGGAACACATCGCGAGGAAACCTGCATTTCTAAGGAAATATTATATATACAATGAGAAAATTTATGTGCCCAGCAGTGGGAATTATGTAGGCTGTAACTATAATTTTTTATGACATCTAAGCATTTAGGTATATATTTAGTTTGATGGTGAGTAAGTTCAAGCCAGTGCGAGCAGAAAGACAAATGTAGGTCGTCACAGTACATTTTGATAAGAAATAGATAAAAAATATACCTAGGCATTAAGCATCATATATCTGCCAATTTTACACACAACTGTTAAAACGTATAAAATGACTTTATCAGATAAGCATTGATATAAATACAAACAAAACAAGACGCACTTTAAATAAATACTTACACAATTTATTAATATTTACAAGAATTTCATAAAAGAAAACTTTCCAATCTTTCTTTGGTAATGGATTCGTAAGATTGTATTTTTATAAAGTAATATGAAATTATAAGAACACTCTATGATTTAAAACCTAAAGAGACGCTCCGACAAAAATTTAAGGAAATCAATATATATTAACTTTGGCCTCTCCATACATTTTGAAAATGTAATGTACAAAAATAAATGATATTCATTCTGTAAATAATAGGAACAGACACAAGCTAGTAGTACCAGTTACTCGACTCCACCGTGTCAGTAATTCATCCTTGGGGCGATGTATACGCCGCTTTTACACAAAATCCCAGAAAATATACAAAATTTGACCTGCTTAAAGTTCAAAAACTTAATTAAACAAAGTTTGTATAAAAAAGGTTATTATAATATTAAGAAATTTATGGATGATAATAACCCCTGGGAATGAGGTAATCGCTACCAAGCTATTTCTAATTTGTTTTATGTGGTTAATTGTGTAACATACATGATTGTAAGCTGTTATTTAAAAAAGTCCCATTGGATTTCTGGCTGATTCTTCCCAGGACAGAGGTTTTTTTTTTAAACCAGTGGTAATTAAACAAAAGAATGACTTTCAATAAGTATTATTTATAATATATATTGAATAAAAAAGTTTTTGTTTATGCTATATTCTTACTTCTGCACAATACAATTATTACTTCTGCGTCACATTGCGTAGTTTTTGGGAGATATTGACAGCACCTTGAGCCAGCAGACAGTCGATGGTAATAGTATCTCAACGTGACTAAGCAGACACATTATCTTGAGGTTCACTTCACCATCGGAGCACTTGATTTACCGTTTCCACTAATAGTTCATATGTACTCAGCACAGTCATTTAATACACAAAATTGCACCACTTTTACATATCAAAATCCACAGCAAACCATTATTTAAACAATAATACAGGAGCAGCAATCCACCGGAGTCAATTTCCCGCCAAAACTCGGTTTCCAATTAATCATTTAAATTAAGTAAGTAGATTTTTTTTTAAATAAAATGAAGGTGATTAGCCGACTGAAAGTTGAAAGAAGAAAGTCCACCTGACAACAAAGAAGGCTAATATGTAATGTCTCTCTTTCTTCACCTATGTTCCTGACGGTTATAGGAGCCAGTAGACTCTATATGTATAACCGTCAGGAACATAGATGTGCAAGCACTGCTAATTGGCGGCAGAAATAGGCAAGCTGGTGCCTACGTGCTTACTTCAGACTCGGATTACTAGGCACAAGAGGAGTCTTACGGGTGGTAAAAAATTAATTAAATAATTCACAAACAGAGTCACAGCCTACTAGATACGCCCTGCTGTTGGGCACATCCCTCCTCTTATTTCTAAAGGGTTGTTGAAGCAGGGCAGGGTTGCCGGTTGTTTTTTTTTTAATTGTTGCCGGATTGTTGTTCGCGGATTTCATGTATCCTCAAATTTTATATTTACACTATTGTCATCATCGTTACAGCCCTTCACAAGTCCACTGCTGAACATAGGTCTCCCCAAAGAGTGCCACAAAGCACGGTCCTGAGCCACTATAATATTATACAAGAATTGCTTACAATGTCAAACACGTTTTGTTTTTACACTGACTCACTCTTAACCAAGTACAGAGGCTTCGCCTGCGCTTTACATGTTTAAATTTAGCATGAGGATATTTCTATTAATACAAGTCCAGTTAAGACCGTAAGATAACATTCTGGGTTAGTCATAACTTATAGCCAGCGTGTTATTTACAATAACAAATATATATTTTTTTGGTTTAATTATAATAAGGGTAACAATTGAGCACACAGTCCATCTGGTTGTAAGTGCTGTGGTTCATTACATTTATCCTCGATATAAGTATCAAAATGCAGATGCATTGTCACCTCTGGGGACTAAGATGGAATGCCTCGTTTCCAGCGAGAAGGGTCTCCTGTTCTCTAACTTACCATACGAAACACAGCAAGCTGCTATTTAAAAAATAAGCTTTTCAAATGTTTTTCTTAATAAAAAATAACGTAGACACGTTGAAATGTAATTTGTTTAAATAAATAACGTCATTAAGTTGTTATTTCGACAGTTCTCGAGACGATGTTCATTAGATTTACCTATGTACGTTCCAACATTAAACGACGCATCATCATACGCATCACAGAGTAAGTAGTATGGTGTACTCATGTTGTACGCATATCACACAGGGCCATATTTAAAAAAAAAACATTTAAACTGTAAATGTGGCTGAAGTAATCTTGAAATTTGGCCCATTGTATCAACTTCCAAAATAAACTATTAAAATGAAGCGTCATTTAAAATAAAATAATATTTCTTTCATGGCAAGATAAGAAAAAGTGCGAGGGACATGGATATTATTCCATCTAGCTTCCTTATTTCGCCGCCAAGGCAGTCTACACTACGTCGGAAGGGGTCGTGACGGAAAAATTTTACACTTTTGGTCGCCTAGCCCCCATCCGCCAAATCCTTACCATTCGATAAAGAAATTCGTTCCAAAAAAACATACAGTATGTGTCAATAGATGGAGTGAAGACCTGG